ATCGATGTGCCTCCTTTTATTACATGTACGCGCGTGATGTTAAACGATTTAAATAAAAATAATTTTTTCTAATTAATATATGTCAAAATATAAATAAATAATGTTATTTTTTTTTTATATTGAGCACTTGATATCTTGGATTTGGCCCATATCAAGCTGAGGGGACTTACAGGACATAAATTAATCCGGATCAAGTCAGGTCATGATACTTTAATTTCATCATATGGATGTGAGTTCTACATATTGCTGCTATATTTCTAGAGCTCAAATTTGAAACTTTGATTAAAAGGGTACAATTTCTTTCTAATTAATTGAACTAAACAGCCAATGGTAATAATTGTAGACCTTTTATTAAGTGTGAAATGAAATAGTAGTACTCAACAATTTATATCTTTTTTCTTTGGTATAACATGAATCTAATTATTTTATGTCATTAGTGCCCTGTTTAGTAGCATATAACTGGTATTGGAGAAGTGGAAATGGAGGTGAAACTTAAAAAATAGGTTGTCTGGTACAATGAATCTAACTTTTCCATAGAATTCGATTCCATCAATTTTTGTGAAACCCACTTCCTCCCTCACTTCTTAAAAATAACCCATACTTCCTCACATATATACCAAATATGTTTTAAAATCCCATTTTCACCTCACTCCCTCTTCCTCTTTCACTTCCTTTTAATTTCACTTCTACTTCAATCAAAAACTCTTTCATGGTATCAAATAGGATGTGCTTTATGAAATTTAACATTTTTAACTTTAATTTTCATACTTTATAAATATATAATAAGACAAGGACATCTGCAAAAGTTGAATAAAATTTTCTCTATTCAGTCAGGGAAAATTAATCAATAATTTAGACTAATGAAAACTAACATCATATTTGAATAACGAAAATTAATAAGTGGATATTCCTAGGTAGCCGTTAGATTTCCTGTTGGGTGAATGAAACATAAAATTATCTGGTGACATTACAACTTTCTTTTGAATGATTTGTGACTGAACATCTAAACCCAAAAAAGTAAAGCATTTCCAAATAATTCAGTTTCGTACATTTGATTTTTTAGCATGATAATGAAGTTGCTTCTAGATTTAGGTTCTTTCAAAAAAGATAGTCATGAAAAAGACAAGAAACAAAGAGAAGTGGTTGGAGGTTTTGAGTTCGACTTAGTGCTCAATTATTGAAGATTTTTTTCCTAATATATGTACTTAATTAATCTTCCTCATTAAATTGCCTCTTTCTTTCTTTAATTATGCTATAAAACAACAACGTTTAACTCCCATGCTTTAATTTCTTTTAGTGGTTTGATTAATTAACACATATAATGCCACACGAAACAAACTACAAATTGTTCCTTTTAATCAAACCATTTGATGTATGGCACTTGGATAGCATCTAAACATATCTACGGTCTTTTCATGAACACTGTAAATAAACGATAAATGGAACGTCAAAATCAACCACGCTAATTTATACGCGTGTTGCATTCTGAAATCAAATGTCTTCACATTTAATTATCTTTATAATCTAAGTGATGTTTAAGTAAAACCATGATGATCACACTTAAGTAGAAGCTTCGTGATCCTCAGATAAATATCTTAATCATTTGACCAAATGAGATAAGCCTGCTGCTGTACTAGGAGGTGGCAACTTCTTCCTATTTGAATGCATGTATGATTTAATATTTCAATTTAATTTTGAATTACATGTGTTAAGAAAGTTAAAACGTTCTTAAATTTAACGGTAACATAGTTTTGCAATATCCTCATAGCAATTCAGATTCATGAATAATTGGATATAAAATTAATAATGTCTTATTAATTAGAAATTTTTATAAAAGAATAATCAATATTTAAGCCTTTCAATCTTTCATTATAAATACATGTGTTAATTATGTATGAGTGTAAGATCAAAAGGAGAGTCTATCCCAAAAAGCTAGCATGTTAGTGAAAAAATCACTCGTACTTATCATTTTTACTTTTTTTTAATAAGCTCTTTGATATAAGATTCATATGTGTGTCAAGGCATGTTGGATGATAAATTAATTTAAATTTTAGAGTGAGGTTTTTTTTTTTTGGAATCAGGGAATGTAAGGCTATATTGGTAAGTTTGAATCAAGTAATCTTTGGGTCCTAAAATGTATTAAATATTTAAATGTTGCTTTTTGATGCATTAAAGATATGCTCACTATGGAGGATACTGCTGGGCGAAGTGCGTTAGGGTTATCTGTTAGCGGAGCAGGTTTTCTTGATAGTTTTTTCTTATGATAAAAAAATATGATCACATTGTCCACTGAATCTAATATTTTATATTTTTTATTATAGAAATTAATTAATGATAGACGTTATAGAATAGTGGGCTATATATAATCAAGCCGTAAATATTTTTAAGAAAAATAATCCTTTTCGATCTTCTTGTATATAACATTATATAGCTAAAAAAAAACGTTACTGGCCCAAAAACATGGACGTGCCAAAGTGAAACTAATAGATCTAATACTATATATAGCTAGGCTGGTCCCTCTCTTCCAATATTAAATTTATTTTTTCATCTGCTTTGATTTTCTTAATATAATATTCAATTACTTTTTTATATTGCATAGAGGAAACTACTTTAATTTTTCTGGTTTCTAGCTGTCACATTAAGAAACTAGCCGCAAGAAACGTCCCCGTACAAAGTAAAAGGAAATCCATTGACATTTTTGTGCCAAATAATCGCTTAATCGATTACATAACATATAAGGAAACATTATATAGACATGTCACTCTCTACATAACATATAGTGAGAATTTGAAAATATTAATCCCCTTCAATAACATGAATGTTTCTTAACGGGTTGGATTATTTTGTAGGAAATAATTCAGTTTGGTGATTAATCAGCACTAATTAATTTCTGCAGAATTTGTTACTTGTTTGTGATATAGTATCATATATCATTATGTATCGGTAATCTAAATATATATTTAAGGATTTTTCATGTAGTCAAAGAACACACACACACTCTCTCTCTCTCTCTCTCTCTCTCTCTCTCTCTCTCTCTCTCTCTACGTGTTGCATTCTGATCAGATTAATGCGAAGTTTGTTACCTTTACAGTCTAATCAATAATCTTTAATTAAAACCAAGGTAATTATTAACGTATAAGAAACTCCAGGAATCTCGTCCTCCAAGTAAAGCCTAGATCTTTGTTTTAATTTCGGCCAACAAATTTAATTGGGCAAGTAACTTAAAGAGGAAAGCACTATGAGAATCCATATATATATATATATATATATATAATATGGCTAGAAAATGGGAAAGTGGGGTCGGTTTTTCTCTTTATCAGCTTTAACTAATGTACATAAAGCTACTTTGGGTTCGTGTCCTTTTGAACACAGCCAAGTTCTAATCCTTTTCCCACATAAAGAACACTTGATCAGTGGCAAAGAATTGCTCCAGTTTAATCAGTAATCTTGAGTTCAGTTCCTAAAAATATAACATTGTTAAAACTAATTGGTAGTAGAGCTCACCACCCGGAATGGTCCATTGATGTTCTATCCGTGTTAGTCTAGATTTCTATTAAGTTCCCTTAGCTTAATGCAATACAGGAGCAATAATAAAAAACACACACACATTCTCAATCTCTCAGACACACATAAACAAAGTGGTCATAAAAACTTTCAAACTAAAAGGGAGAACTATAAATTATATAGGGCGAAAATGGCCTGCCGGAGTTGAAGGTGGCAACTTCCTACCTTAACCTTATACATATTTTAAAAAACTATGTATATGTGGCTGGATATTGTGCATGAATTAATTTGAGCTATGTGTTGACAATAACTTTAACATAATGTTTTCTAGATCAAGTGTTAAAAAATATATAAAGAATTATAGGAGGAATTGAAATTACAAAAATCCACATCCCTCTTCATTAATTATATGTTGGCGGTGATAAGACATGGAAAGAAATTAAAGGCCACATGAATTTTAAAATTATAGGATACTACTATGATGAGCTTTGGATATACTGATATAAGCAGGGCAGGCTAGGGAATAATGTTGAGATCCTGAAAGTGGAATATATATATATATATATATATATATATATATATATTATATTAAATGTTGCTTTTTAAGGGTGTCCCAGAAGAAAAAGCTTGCATAATAATATGACAAATATAACGGATAAGGATGAGGTACGTTAAGGAGCTAAGTGATAGTGGATGAGGAGCCGACTCTCTTTAAACGCCAATTCTAACCGAGCATCTGTACATATATGTGTGTATGTGTATGTAAATAATTTATTTGTTAACCCCTTCGTTAAGAATGTCTTCGGCTATGCTAGTGGGAAACAAGAAGATTGCAAGCTTCATATTTTTAGGAAAATTGAAAGGCATGTTTACCCTAGAGTTCTTAAATAAATTCACCCGTTAAGATAAATAATCATGAACCGCAAAATGGTCCAATATACCAAATTGTATCTAATTACCCCTGCACCTGAAGCTCACGTGAGGATTCTTATGGGATTCTCACGTGAGCTTTAACTTAACATTTTTTTAGTATTTATATTTAATGTAAAATTATGCTTGGAATATAATTGCCTCCAATAAGAACATGAGAAATTTAAAAAAAAAAAGAAATAACTTTAAACTTATATATATATATATATATATATATATAACTATCTAGTTGAGTTAGATTCAAATATTGTCAAACTCATAAAGACTTGAATTTGAGAAATACTATCCCTTCCCGCTAAACTATTGATCATATGTAGCTTTAAAGCCTTTAACTCTTTTCTGGCCAGAATATAGGCTTTAACTTAACACAAGGCAGCACTCCGCCAATAATGCAACTGGGTGCAAATAAAAATAAATAAAATAATAAAAAAGAAGGCAACACCGAATTTCTATGCACCCACACACATAACTTAACACGCCTTTTCCTTGCCTTTCCCTTTGCCTTTCCTTTGCCTTTCCCTCACAGCTCTTCCCCACTATAAATATAGTTCCCATAGGCCCTTCCTCTGCAGAGTTCAGAAATCCGAAATTAGAAATCACAATACATCTCTTCGCGCCTTTCTCTCTCTATCTCTCAAGACTCGAAAATAAAACTAGCATCTCTCTCTCTAGAGACTCCAAAATAAAACTAGCACCTGTCCCTCTCTCTCTCTAAAGTTGTGAAGAAAACCGAAGTATTATAGAGATGGAGAGCAACGTGCCAGCAATAACTAAGAGAGTATGGAACATGGTTCGCGTTGCCTTCTTCATGCTGAGAAAAGGCATATTCAAGGGCAAAATCGTGATGGACCTTAACATGATGCTCAAACGCCGCGGAAAGCTCGCCGGGAAGGCCATCGCCAACCTCGTGTTCCACCACCTCCACCACGGCAGCTCCGCCTCCTCCCACGACCCCCACCTGCAGTTCTCCGCGGCAGGCGAGTACGAGTTCAGCTGCGGCAACACTCCCAACTACAGCTTCTTCCCGACCAAGCGCCATAATCGCCGCCACAGCCACAATCCCTTCTTCGCATGTGCTCACGCGCCTCTCACTCAGGACGACGACATGGTGGCTGTCAGCAACGCGCTTAAGGTGGCGTTGGAGATGCTGGATAACAATAATTGTTCTTACAACAACTATAATAAGGACGAGGTGGAGGCGTCGCCGGCGCTTCCCGGGTTCGGAAGGAGTCCGATGGTGAGGCAGCTGCGGGTGACAGACTCGCCCTTCCCGGTGCAAGACGACGACAGGGATCACCAGGTGGACAAGGAGGCGGAGGACTTTATAAAGAGGTTTTACAAGGACCTGAGGAAGCAAGCTTGAACCTAATATTCATGAGACATTATCTCCACCGTGTTCATTAATAATGATGTTGTTAATTAGCATAAAGCCAGTGTGAATTTTTCAGACATGGATCATAGACTTTGTTTTGGCAAATAATAATGATAATAATCTGGACATGGATATGTTGATACTGATCATGAGTTCATTAATATTATTCCTTTTATGTGCATAATGAATTTGTAAGTTTACTATTGTTTTTCTATATATGATCGTTGAAATAAAAAGAAATCAAATGCTGCAATTAGCTCCTTTGACTAATTCTTCCTTCTATCTTACTTTTTTTTTTTAAAAAAACAAATTTTATAGACAAGTTTAATAGCTTGAAACGGACACACAGATATATAGGTGACCTAGATGCCACTATATATATACCACAAGAGTACTGGCTTTGACAATGTGTATTTTGATTTATTATTAGTTTCAGCATTACAATTATGTTACACTCTTTTCGTAGTTTTCCTTGTCCTCTTTTGCTTTGCGCTTTCGATCTCACACGTGAGCATCTCATTTTCTGAAACTTAAAATATATATATATATATATATATATGAGGGTGGTGATCCAGTATAATAATATATGAGATAATATAAAAATCATATATATGTACTTTAAAAGGTCCATATAAGAAGAATTTTTGGAATAGATAAACTTCATGGATATACGAATTAATATACTTACCCTTACGTGCCGTACGTAGGGAATAACTAACTGAATATCCCTGTGATATATACACGAATTTTGAATCTTTGCAAGTTTGCATCTAGAAATTAATTATTTAATTATGGTTTCTAAACTTCAAATCAAGCTTTCTCTATTCTTTTCTTTTTAGTACCAAATTAGTCAGGTTCTTGAGACTATATTAGAGTTTGTATTAATCACAAACTAAGACTTTTCATTTACATAATCAAAATAATTTAAGTTATTTTGGAAGGACTCAGCACACATTTATATAGATGTAATTAATTTTTTGATAACTCAATATAGGACTATCATATATCTAATTAATATGTATATATAATACCAACAAGCATGTAGTGCAATTGGTGAGTAGTTATGCTAACTTAATCAATAATTTTAAGTTTGAGTTCTGCACCAATGTGATTCTATTAAGTTTGGCTCATAAATAATGAATAATTATATTAAAGAAATATAATCACCACGCTTGGTGACAAATTAAATTACATATATTGTAGTTTAATTTGTGAATATGCAAAAGTTTTAAAACTAGCTTTTGGACCTAATGAATTAGAAGTGTGATCTTAATTAATATAATTAGTTATTCAAATTTGATTTAATTAAACTTAATTAATTAAATAGGCATGTCACAGCCAATACCACCCTGTGTTTTGATTAAAGTAGTGTTGATATGACTCCACTAAAGTTGGCAAAGTGTGAAACCATAGGCTGTGCCCTCTCTAAAATATCGTGGCCTTTCCGCAAACTTCACTTTAATCTGTTGCTTTATTGCTGCTTTATTTTTCGCTGTTGCTTTATTTTTCCCCCTTTATTACTCTTGCTTTAAAAATTATTTCTTTTTTCTCATTTAACAAACCCTTTTCCTGGTTGCTGCTTACTTCTCAAAAGAAAGTATCCACCAGAAGATCCGTCCATGGACAAAGTAACCCATTGTCACGTTTGTGGTGAATAATTATAATGCTAAAATAATGGGATACTTATGTTTACCAAATACCTAATTACTCCATTTTTTCTATATGTAAGAAAAAAAACTATAGCACATAATTTAAGAAAGTTGGTTAACCATAATAATTATGTCTAAAAATAAAAAATTAGACTAAAATGCCCTATGCTAATCAATATAAATATGCATTAATTATTTCTTATTAATGTAAATTATAAGGGGTGATTTAAAAAATGTGTAATAAATATTTATTAAAATATACAATTTTGCTTATATAAAAAAATAAATAAAAAATAATAGTTTCTCTTATAAATAAAAATAAATGAAGTATATCCACATGGTGACATAACGTGAAACCAAAACGACTGCAGATGTCATAGAAGGGGTTAAAATAAATACTACCTCATATTTAATTTGATTTAATTAATTGTATAATTATAAGTAGGTGAAGTTTGAAAAGAGATACTCCTATCAGTTTTAAAATTATATTTGAGCCTACGGAATTATTATTTTTAAGCACGAATACTTCAGACTTTATCAATAGCAGAGATTATATCTCTGAGCTAATAAGGGAAAATGGTATACAAGAGTTATTGAGATTTGAATCACCAACCAGCCACTTAATTACTTAAGTGATGAAGAAAGTCTTTACCGGTCACTCACGTCAACTTTAATTAGTCATATGAGATTAAATTTTACCCACTTGTTTTTTGAGAGATTAGGTTGGTTTTGGATTAGATAATTAGCTGTCAAAATATTACAGCATGTAATTATATAAAACTTCAGAAACAACTAAGTAATTCGTAGTTTCGCGAGTTGGTCAATTAGTTTATTGTAAACTTTGATATTAATTAAGGAGGAAAAATTAAAATGAAAGTGAAATGATTTTGGGGATCTCTCTGATAGTGATGAGAGAATTATTATGGCTGCTGGTCGGTTTAAGATGGGTCAATGAGGGTCTTGATTAACTTGGAAATTTTTCTTGCAGTACAAATTAATAAGATTAAAATGTCCAACAATAATTGTGAAAGTGAAATGGCCAACAATAATTGTTGTTTCTTGCAGGTAAAGATTTTTTTTTTTTGACCAAATCTTGCAGGTAAAGATGAAACACAGCAATATATTAAGAACTTTAAGGGCGAGGGGTTTTACCTTTTCAGTTTACAAAGCAAAGGAATTCTCTTAAAGCCAAAGGATTAGGTGAAAGTTCGGTGAAACTCTGAAAATGAGGACCGCCATATTGTATGGCTTTTTGAATTTTTCGTTGGCTCTTTATATATACTTTGACATGTTTTCTGTGTAAAATTGTCGGAATATAATTTGTATTTATTTGCGTTATGAATTATTGATTATGAGGAGCTTTTAGTTGCTGAACGTAAATTATATTATTTATAACTTTTGAATAATTTGGCTTCTTATAAATTTTATATAATATATGATATTGATTGATTCTATATATTATATATATAGTTTCGAAAATAAAGGTAAAAGATGAGTTATTAAAAATAATTAAGACAGCTAATTAAAAACCAAGTAACTTAAAATTGAAGTATATCAAAATAAAAATTAAAAGGTAAACAGAGAAAATTAAATATCTGTATGATTGATTAATAACGTTAACCTGTTATGTTATAAAAGATAACGGCACAAATGTCTCTTCAGGGACATTTGATAAAATTGGAACAACACAAAGAAGATTAGCATGGCCAGATGGCCTTTATGCAAGGATGAAAGATAACGGCGGCATAGATTAACATGTGGGACCAACTCAAGTTGATGAACGATATAAACTTTTGTTATTTAATTAAGTAATTGGGGATTTGAATATTAATCTTTGTATATAGTTGGGAGGGATCTACTTTGCCTTCAATTCCGCAGAAAAGAAAACCTCTGCTGTTAGTAGGATTTATTTCTTGTACTAGCCAAAAAAAATTAATTAACAAATGAAAAATATATTATATATAATTATATATGTGTGTGTAGTGTATACATTATGTTTTTTCTTCACCTGATTGCCAGTTAAAAATTACGCGATAATATTTATATAATTGAGTGGGTTGTTTCACTTGCATTTGACCCATTATAGTGTATGCTATATATAGCTGTCAACCAACAAAGTTTCTGGGTGGAATCAAAAGGTGGTCAGAACTTTAAACTCACCGAGATGAAAAGAAAAGAAGTGGAGAAATTTGATACCCTTAAATAGGATCCAAGTTTTGTATATCTTCTAGATGACAAAAATTCGATAGAATCGATATTTCTGTATTACATATAATGTCCCAAATTAGTGAATAATACAAAATATTAGATGGCTATTATAAAAAAAATAAAGATGCACACAATATCTACTTATGCGGATTAGTGTTTTTTAAGGCTTTGGTCCTCTATTGACTATTAGGTTATAGAAGTTGTTTTTTTGGAGTGGTTTCATTTTTTTTATATGCTATAATATGTTTTGTAAAAAAAATATCAATATAGTAATGAACCATATTATGAAATATCCATGATAATTTAATGATGGAGAGAGAAAGTGTGAGTTAGGATATTTTTCTTAAAAAAATCTATACCCCTTTTTAAGGTAATTAAGAAATCTCAAGTGCATTTACAATTTTTGAAAAACAAATCTTATAAAATCTAAGGAAAGGAGGTATTTTGGCCAAATAATTTGCAAAGAAAGCTTATAATTGGAAGGTGATAGCCGGCAAGGATTTAACTCATGGCTCACAAAGTTGCGTGGGTTCAAATTTTATTATTGTTAATTTGAAAACATTGTTGAAAAATAATTTATAAGTATTTTTATAAATGCTTTTTGAACTTAGAAATCTATCATGCCTTATATGTTTTTTAGAGTCAACTCATCTAAACTTTTTATACCAAATAAAAGAAAGTGATTTAAATCAATAAAGATTAAGTTTAATAAAAGAAGTTAATCTCTCGTAACAAGATAAATAAATGTTGAAATTCTCACTAGACAATAACTGTATGCAATTAAAAAAAGGAGGTGTGACATATGAGGTTGGCTTTAATGGCTGCTGGAATAAATTATCATAAATTTGAAGGTGGTGTTATGTTAAAATGGAGCACCAATAAAACGTAAAAGCAATAGAGAAAGTTTCCGAGAGTTGACACTTAAACTGCAAATTTTGAATTCCACATGACGAAAATCGAAGCACACGTACACCGTAATGAATCTCCATGCGTAGTGTTTACTTATTTTAAAATCCACTCTTTTTTTTACTGTATATTACACCCCATGCATTTTTTTTTTGTTTTTGTTTTGACCAAACATGCATTTTGCTTTATTCTTCCCTTTTTTGTACGCCGACCTTTATTAAAAGCTTTTTTCTTTGATTTCAATTTTTGCTTCCTCTAAATACTTTTCCATCAATATATATTATGGTCACCATAATACGTAACAAAACCATTTGGGCATGTTATCTATTAATATTATTAACTCTCCGTCATATCATATTGATATTTTGAGACATGTCTCGA